GAACACTGATCTGCAAACAGCCACAATGACCCGGCGTGAAACCCTGACTGGGAACAAGTGCCAACTCTGGCCCAAGAGACTTCACCATGACTGGAGCTTCAGAGTTCGACTCATATAACCGAAGCATCTGCATCTTCCTGTCCAAAACCTTCGCACAACTGTTGCCGCTGTCGCACTGATACAGTGTTGGCCACTACAGGATCGATTCCAGCCAAGCCCCCCACATAGAGGGAAACCGCATCACAGCTCAACAGCTCCAGCGTCTCGGAGATGGTGATGTCTGGAATCAGGTAATGCCACGAAATTTGCGAGACACCAGTCGTTGCATTCTCCAAATCCGCAGTGTGTGCAAATGAAGGGTTTTGTGCATAAATAAGTGGAAGACTCTGTTGCCTGACAACTCGGCGTATGTTCCTCTGGGTTTCCTTCAGCTAGTTCAGCCTGGTTCTTGCCGTTCAGTCACCCACACTCTTCACACAAACCGTCGATTCCCTGTCGTGAGTTTGCTTCTGCTATGCGCTCCTACATGAGCCACAGTAGATCTTGGGTAGCATGGTGGAAAAAATTCTCTGCTCTTCAGATAGGTTGCTGATGGTTTCTTGCGGGATGATTTTGCCAGTTATCCTTCGGGAGACCAGGAAAAGCTTCTGCAGGTCCGCATCAGAGAGGTCACCGCCGTCAGACTCTATGTCCTTGCAGGAGTCTGCTTCTCGACAGTCAGGCAAGCCGAGCGCGAGGAGCTCACAGGCTTCGTGCGCAAGAACAGGAACAGGACTATCGGCATGTTGCCGAGCTGGGCTCGCGTCCTTTTCTAAGTATTGCAGCAGAAACCTTCGCGGGTTCTCAGGCTTCGCGATAAGCACTTGCTTGAGCATCTCCTCAAGGACATCTGCAACGGTTCTCCGTTCTATCACTCAAAGAAATGCCGTCCTGGACCACCTCGTCCACATCGTATTTTCGAATGAGGAGCTCCAGTGCTTGCCTCAAACCGTCGCATGGTGCGCAAGCGAAACAAAAAACCAAAATCGAGCAAGTCACTCTGACTGAAATGGATTCGGAATCTAAGGTGTGCCGTGCCGGCCTCTCGGCAGCTTCACGCGACGTCATGGCTGTCCGCAAAATATTCTTGTATTTGCCAACGGTTGTTGTTGGTATATGTTGGTATGGTGGCCGGATGGCAGGCTGGTAGAAAATGCCAAGCGATCCCTAGGTGTCTTCTCGACTTAATGAGAACTACCATGTTTGTGGCAGCACCAGCAACCTATGAGTGCGACCACATCTGACTGTCTGACCTCGACACTGTTTATCACTGTTTGCTGGGCCTGTTTCGCGGCACGAAGCGGCTCTCTCAATAGAAAGCGAAAGTTGCAAGTTGCACGGTCTGAGACGAAGAAGTCCAAAAGCGTGAAGAAGCAACTGCTGAAGTCTTTGACTGCTGCAAAACACGCACACAAGCAAACACATACACACACACACACACGCACAAGCAAGCAAACAAGCAAGCAGCAAGCAAGGCATATGTACCTACATACATACATTTTTGTCACTCGCATTCCATGATAAGTCAGGCGAGGTTGCTGCCCACATACATACATACATGCATACATACATGCATACGTACATACATACATCTTTCTTTCAGACGCTGCAGAGGAGCTCCGCTTTGCGAGGCTGTTATGACAGGGAGCCACCCCGGCTGCTGTGAGCCATGTGCATTTGCACACGTCGGTGAGAAACGTGCTGGCAGTGAAAGCAATGATCGGGACCTGCCACGAATGGCCCAATAACGTCTCGAACATGCTCAGGACTGCATGGTGCGGCAGTAGAAAAACAGATAGCCTGTGGTCAGTGCTTGTGATGGCATCACGGACTGAATAATCGGCACTTTTGAATCGTCGCATTGCCAGAAGATGGGCTCCGAATCAGGAGGATAACTGCAGAGGAGCGCACGGTAGTGACCAGAGGCTGCATTGGGACCCTCATGTAGGATGATTGCAATCAGCTGATATTCGCAATGGCGAACATTCAAGATAGAGTCATGCGGGATAGGACGATGCTGAAAGCAAGGTATCAAAATGCGAGGATCCGGCAGCACCCTAGTGACATCCTTGGCACCAGTGGCCGTGGGGCTAAACCGGTTAACCAGCAAAACCAAAAGACCCGGCTCACTGTCCATGGCAGTGAGTCCAGCTGCTGCTTGATCCTTCCAGGCGTGAATGAGTCGCTGAATTGTGAGCCTGCTGTTGGAGCCACTGCTGCACTGAGATGGAGACATAGCGAGGAGCATAGGCCATGCGTCCCCACAGTCGCGCACCTGGCAACGGGGGTTGCTGCTATCTGCAATAAGAAGACGGTTTTGCCACCTGCCCAAGAGCAGATCTGGAATGACAAACCTGCGGCAGAAAACAAGGTATTCAGCCACGTCATGCTGGGAGTGGGGACATGCCCAACGAGCATGCAGAAGTGACCATCGAAGAGAGGACCAAAGGTCCGGAGCAGGCGCCTGTGTGATCATTCTCCGCACAACTGAATGCATGGCCGCGGACCAAATCACCTGAGGGCGAGCCATGCCGGAACAGATCAGTTGGTTGGCCCAATGGAGGTAGCAAAGGACTGAGTTGGCGTAGCAGTGATTGGAAGAGTTGGTGATACGAAGCAACACAGGCGACTGGGTGTACAAGCTATCTGAGTGCAGGACCCCTGCAGGCGACGGGCGAGCTCGGCTGCTAGGGCTGATCGTCCCATCTTCTCCGGACGCAAAGATCCGCCCACCAACTGCCAAATCGCTGAGTTGGTCAGCGATCGGAGGCTCAGATAGAGCTCGGCAGCTTCCGGCGACCGAAACCCCACCTGGAGGAGGAAGGGTACAGTGGGCCCTTGAAGTGGGCCGCTGAGGCGCTGAGTGGAGTGAAAGCGCATGATAGCCAGAGGACAGAGACACTGCTTCTGGACGAAGAGCCGCCTGGCGTAGGTCTCCCGAAAGGTGCACCTGGCAGCGAGCTTGTTGCTGGTGGCCTGGCCACGGGTGATCCTCTGGTCGCCGGTGTCGCTCCTGTGCCAGCCTTGGGCATCCTCCCAGCTGTAGCCGATTTCGGCAAGTTGACCGGCAGTGGGGGTGGCGGTCCCATGGGCCGCATTGGAGGCATGCCTTCACGTCCTGGAGGAACGCCCGAACTCGCAGAAGCCGCTCCTGTGCCCAAAGCCTCCGTCTCGGAGCTATCAGAACTCGAGACCGGAGGAGAATGATGTCTCCGTTTCTTCCTTTTCTTCGGTGGCATAGATCTCCGCCAGACCAAGGGCACCCAGACGTGGAAGAACGGAAGCCGTCAAGAGCCACGGCCACCCACCATTCGGCAGAGAGGGGTGGGGCAAAGTGCGGAGCCCGGGGCTGCAGTTTACAGATTGAGTGCAGGGGCAGATTCACAGGCAACAGGTGCATTTGCAAGGCTAACTGAGGGACAGGAGCAGCGTGAGGCGTGGACCGAAGCGGCCCAATGTCCACCCAGATTGAAGCAAAGCTCCGGCTGGAGAGCAAGAACGTGACGGAGCGATGTCTCCAGACGATGCAAGCTGAGGGCAGCACACCCGGCGAGGAGACCTCAAGCCTGAGCGCACAAGTGGCGGCTGGTAGTAGGAGCTTCCGGCGAGGGGACCTCAAGCCAGGCAGGACACAGCAACTGCAGGGGCCAGACCCAAGGGGAGGGAACCTCAAACCTCGGCAGGCCAGGCAAGAGCACGGCTCGTGTCAGTGTGTTGTTGAGGCACCGACCCGGCAAGGGAGGCCGAGCTGGTGGATCACAAACTACGGTTCGATGGACACATGAGGGAAGTGAGCCTATTACACAGCGGCATATCCAACGGCAAGCATCCTGACAGTGCTTCGACGGAGCAGCAAGCCCTGATTATACCTTCCGGCACCCAGGTCGACGGCTCGTTCCCAGAGTGAAACCTAGTCCATGGTATCCAGGAATGAAGAGCTGGTGGCGGACCTGTGGCCAATGTAGCATTGGGAAGATCGCTGATAGAATACCGAAGGGGCGCCCACCTGTTCGGAAACGCAAAGGGGCTGGGATCAGTATCCGAAGTTAAGCCTGTCTCACGTGCAGCTTGCACAGACAATGTGTCTAGGTATTGCCACTGCCGAAACATAGTGGCTGCAATCGTTGGTAGCTTGATCCTGCGACGCCGCCGCGGTCTAAGCTGGAACTCTGGAAGAGAGGCAGGAGAGCAGCCATCGAGGCCTGCACTCGGTAATGCCCTTTGCCTTGGTATGGTCTGTAGCAGCGAGCCTGAGTTGTCATGTTCCCAGTCATACAACCTCGAAGGCAGGGCAGCACCTGTGCGGTTTTCCTGACCAAGTGTAGCCGCGTAGCCAGCCACGAACCTGTCAGTCGGATGCAGTCCAGCCGGGGCAGGGGTATGACTGAGTGACATAGGGCACTGACTTGGCTGCCTGTGGAGATCCTGTGCACAGCTGAAAAACCGGCAATCAAAGCAGTCGAATGTGTCCACCAGAGCCAGCCTGAGGACTTCGGAGCAGGAATTTTGTTGGTAGCACTCAGCTTCTGAGTATGACCGATATCCGCAGAGGCTGCCATGGCGGTGCCCCGAAGTCAAGGGGAGGAAGGGAAACCAACCCCCAGGCAGGGAGAACCGCGCCGAAGCCAGAACCCCGAACCCAAAAAACACCAAACCCAGAAAGGGGCACCCTGCTGCTGAGCCTTACATACATACATACATACATACATGCGTACATACATACATAAGTATATACATACATACATGCATACGTACATACATACATACATATATACACATGCAAGCATGTGTTGATGATACAGGCACGTGTACACACACACTCACACATAGACATATACATGCACATATACATGCCCTTAGTCAAACATACATACCTACATACGTACGTACACATATATATATATATGTATATATATGCACTGCAACTCCATCCCAAAAGCCGGTTGCAGGTGGGGCATGTCCTTGCCAAAGAACCCTTTCCGGTTGTACCTGCCAGACACGAACGGACAGACAACATATGTCAACCGAGACAGAGACAGCTCGGCTCCTCACGTTGCATAAAGCTCCCCGCCGAGTGCGGCTTCCATCAGGAAATAGAGCACTGGCAACAAGGAATTTGCTTTCTTCCAGGCCGAGGCATAAGTCAAAGCAGAGCGCATTGTCTCATGTGCTGGGGAGCCAGCTGTCTGGTGAGTTGTATGTCCTACAGGTAAGGAGTAAGGACTTGGCAAGCTTGCCGGGCACCTACTGCAGCGCAACCCCTCTTGCCGCTAGTGTTGCATAGTGCTTTCGAGTCGCTCGAACAGCCTCACTATGAAGAGCGAGTCGCACTGCATGTGGACCGCTTTCTCCTGGCATTCATGCGTCCTTTGCATTGTGAAGACTCTCTCTTTGCTTGCAAATTTAGGACAAGTTTTGGATGGTTTACGCTGTTCCCAGGAGTCTCTGGCTCGGGTCTTGTTCTTGTAACTCCAGACCCTAGCTTGACTGGGATGGACTCAATAAAGGCCAAGCAAACAGGAAAATTGGTAGAACTGTTATAGGTAAAGTAAAGCATGTACGATATGATGCCCTACCGCAGCTCGCCGTAAATTGTAAATCAAAGACTGCCTACCACTCGAAAAGCTAAACTGTAAAAGCAGCGAAAGATGCAAAAGCGTAAAACGGGCCATGGGGCGAAAAATGTAAAACTGAAAAACCAGCGGAAATGCAAAAGGTTAAAAAAGAGGTACCGAGTGAAAAAAAGTAAAGCTGTACAAACTCAGAATTCAAAAGCACGAAAGGGAGTGAATCCGTAATTTCGCTCTATCCATGGACCCAAAGCCGAACAGATTACAACATCCGATTCGAAAAGATTTGCCGCAAATTGAAAAACCTCAAAACCCTCTGCGGCGACCGTGAACTCATCTCTTCTCACCGATTAGACATCCGACCATGGACGTCATCATGGTTGGGCCGTGGATGCTGTTCGCAGAACGGCATAGGCCATGGACATCAACATGGTCTGGATACGAAACAAGCCAAAATTTCGCAAGCAAAATCAACATAAACACTTAGACTTGAAAAGCACCTGCAACAAAAGCAGAAAGCATCAACAAGCAGACCAAGAATGATAAAGAGGCAAAGCGAGGTTTCATTACAAAGAGGTTCGAGGCGGCAGGTCAGCCAACTGGCGTGAGCAACGTTTAACTTAAACCTTCGACGGCTTGTTCAATAACAACCCTTCATCACCGTTTAAGTCCTGAATCCTCAAGCCCGGCCCGGGCCGGTCATTCTTCACGATGCGTGGTGCACGTAGGGAGCCGGACGGGTTTGGGAAGAGTTACGGAGTTTGGGCCGCGGTTTAGGTTCAGGGTTCAGGCGAAAACATCGAATACCTCCAAAAAATTGCCCTCTGCGCCTTTACGCCGAAACCATGCACTCTACCCTTGCATGCCTTTAGCCTGAGAACATGCCTTTTACGCTTTAACACTACTCGTACGTGTGCGTACACACTCATGCCAGGAAACCAGGCAGTTTTATTCCTTTACCCTTGCTTTTGCGTTTGTATGTGCGGCTGGCCTGCCCCAAAAACGCTGGAGAACGGCGCTGGAAGGAGTAGAAGCGAAACAGCTACTTGTAGTTTTACCTGTAGCGCTTGTGCGCTTTTACCCGCTAAGCAGAACAACGCCGGCAAACCTGCTTAACTCGCTCTGTGCCCAACAAGAAGCTCCAGGCAAGGGGACAGGACGCACCCAGGTTTGAATTTCATGGTTCGCTTCGAATTCGATGTCGTCCCGAGTGTGGCTGACAGGAGCGGCTGCTCGTTGCTTTGCAGCATGGCAACTGCATTCGAGCAGTGGCAACTGAGAGAACTGGACAACGCAAGCATCAGCAACTTCACAGGAAAGGCCAACTCTACCTAGGAAACAGAATAGATACTGGGAAAGGGAAACGCACATGGCCCTGGGCCTGCAACACGCTGTTCTTCATTCCACTCTTGACAATGTAGCCCTTGCTAATCGCCTCGAGGATACCCGGCATGGAAAGTCACGAGCTCTGTGGCACGGACAGCACGAACTGCATCACAACCCCACGGTCAAGAGTCAAGACCTTAGCTAATACGCAGGTGACATGCTCCCTGCCTTGAGGGCAAAAGTCTCGCCCGAGAGCGCATGCTCGACGAGCCTTGGCCCCACGTACCGAGCTCAACAAAAGGACACGTGGCCACAATTGCAACTGAGTCTAAGAGACAAGACAAGGGCACTTTGCGGAGACGCACAACCGGTGCTGACCATCATACACCCAGGCCCCAAGAGGCGTTGCTCTGAGTGCCGCACTCCACAAAACCGAAGCCTCCACAGCCAAGGATGCCCAGAGTCTTCAGCTGCTTCCTGTTGAGGGCCCACTCTTTCTTTCACGCCCTATGCCGAAGTTGCGCCCTTGTCTTTATCAATTCCAGCCAACCTTTCCGCTCCGGAGGCTCAGCGAGCCAACACAGAACAAAGCTCGTGTCCCTGTCTTTGCTGTCTTGTCTCTTCTCGTCCCTGGCTCGAACGACAGGCCCTGTCAGTCCCGAATAATGCCTGACCACAAGATCTGACAGCGCTGCTCTCGTGGCGCGTGCGCTCCAAAGGCAAGATGGATGGAACACCCCGCATCGTCCCTTCCTCAAGGGCGATGCTCGAGCACCGTAACAACACGCCGTCTGGCACTCGGAGAATTCCTCGTTGATACGGTTACATACTAACTAGAAAGTAACTAGTGCTGGAAGACCTGGCACGTGGCGCCACCCTCATATAAATATAGTGACATCCTTGATGAGGAGTTGATTGAAAAATCACATGTTTGGAAAAAGCAGCTACCGGGTTAGTGGGACAGCATCACATGAACAAAATTGTTCAAAAGCGCCTCCCTGCTTGATCTTCAAGGCATGACAAAGCCCCCTCACTCACCAGACACCCCTCTGTTCCGGCTTAGGGTGAGCGGCAGAATGCGCCATTCATAGAGTCCCAATTGGTAAGACGCGTGTCTTTCTCTCTCCCTCTCTCTCTCTCGCTCGCTGACTCGCTCCTGGTTCTTACACTTACCCAGCCGCCCGCAACCCGCGCACAGAAGTTCCCTGGTTCGTAGGGGCTCCTTCCTTGTCCGATTTCTCACTATCTCTCTCTGTCTCTCTCTCCGCCTCTCTCTCTAGCAATGCTCGAGCTGGTCAAGCCGGCAATTGGGCAGATGCATCACATGGTTCGTGGCATATGTTCTATGTCACACGCTGCCTGCAGGACGTGACTAGGCATGTGCTAGTCACATGCAGGTCTGGCAGTGAAAGCTTTCTGGCAGGCCTGGCTGGGGCCGATTGAATTTTAAACTAAGCCTGGCTCATCACATCCAAACCAAGATCATTGCCTGTCAACTTCGCCAAGAGACCACGATGTCAGGAATCAAAACACACAGGTCCAGAATATTTCGTCCATCCTGTGGCACTCGATCCGGACCATGCTGACTATAGCCATCAACCCAAGCGAGATCAGTGATCAATGGCCGCCACAGATACCGACCTTGTATAGAGGGCAAGAATATCAGGGAAGGAAATAGCAGATCTGCTGTGCGGTCCAGGCCCCGGGCGGCCCATGTCCGGGTGGAAGCAGATCCGCTTCGAGGCTCGGGGGCTGGCCGCGGCCTTCCTTGCAAGAAAGCCTAGGGCATAGGCTGAGGGCCGAACGGCGCTTTCCGTCGGCTCCCCCCGACTCCCCCCGGCCCTTGCTCCTTCTTCAGCTGCGCCCAGAGATCGCGTAGTTCGCCATCTCTCTGGGCGAGGATGCCCTCGAGCTCCTGGCAAGAGCGCTGCTTTCCGTCCTTCCGTCAATTCGAGATGAACCGGTCGTCCTGAATCCGAGATTCCAGGCCGGTCACGTGCTCCGGCCTGCAGCATACTCCATAGCGACGCATCACCGCAAGACATGCAAGACTGACAAGCACAGAGACCCGCACCTGCATCCGGCGGAGGTTTCAACCGAGTCAAGATCCGTGAAAGCCTCAAGCCCGAGATACGAAAATGTTAACCAGTCGTCACTCATAGCGGACCCGCAAACAGCTTAGGCGGAATCCAAGCTCTCCTCGCGGTGGTAAACATCAAGGGCCGACACCCACCAGTACGTCTGGTGAAATGCCCCAGGTTCCTGGGATCTGCTGCTACTTGGTAGCGGAACAGAACTTTCACAACATAAACGTGCACCCAAACGAGCGCTCCTGCCGGACGAAGGCCTCACAATTGCTGTGGCCCACTTTGGCGCCACAGTGTTCATGAAAGGTGGGAGAGCCCAGGTCGCCGCAAAAGGTGATGTCAAAGACCAGCTTCATATTCTTGAAATGACTTTTGGTACATACATCGCTAAGCTCGAAATAGAAATCCGGCTGTCCCCAAAGTTCCGGGTCCGGTGTCGGGCCTTTTGCATCTTCGGGTTCAGAGCCAGAAGGCCAAAACCAGACGCGCATGTGTCCGGCCAAAGGGTCCCACTCGGCTGCGTACGTGCCACCACCGCCCGCATTGAAACTGGGGCCCACTGTGCCCGCCAAGCCGCGTTGTGAACAGCCCTGGTTTTGCCATTGTCCTTGTGCGTGTACATCACAGTTCGACGCCTTTCCCCTCCCATAGATGCCAGGATTCCACCAGCCTTTCATGTCCTTTCCCTCTCTGAGATGCGACTGGGTACAGCCAGCCTTCGTGTGTAAAGTCGTAGACACATTCTCCTCGTCGTGAATCCACTCAATAATGTCAAACCTTGACCGCGCGTGTGACTGTAGCAGACAAGGTGATCAAAAAAGCCTAACAGCTGCTAACACCAAGAAACTCCCCCCATTCTGGCCAAATATGGTCCGGGTCTTCTCCAAACATCCAAAATGCCGGCCAGGAGCCACAGCCTCATGAAGCATACTGGGCAATCGCTACAATCAACCTCGACCTCCACGCTCAGTCCTAGCAAAACGGTCTATCTAAGACATGTGTGGCATTCATAGCCTTACCTGTTGGAGCGTGGTCCAGGGTAATGATGAACAGCCCATCGTTGTACCGCTTGGTGGACTCTAGTCTAATGGATTTGCGCCCTCTGCCCTCGGTGAGATTCAGCACAGTCCTTGGCTTTGCCACCAAAGGGAAGCAAACACTCTGCTGCTCGAACCTGCAATCTCTGCAGAGTCACGTGTTGTCAACGCCGATGAAAACGCCGTTCGTATGACTGCGCACCAGTTCCAAAGCCTCTGCATCCTCACGCGTGATGTAGTCAACAGTGCCGTGAGTAGGATCATCGGCAGGCACGAAATCCCACTGGTCGAAGAAGCCGCTCATGTAATCCTGGTCGCCGTCACTGATTGCATTGCCCGTGCGCATGTCTAGCATGTCTCACTCGAGATGTGCCTGGGGCTTCAAAAAGCACTTGCGAAAGCAAGATCAGAACAAGCCTGTTCATGGACATAAGTGACCGCACTGGCCAACGAAAGCCATGCGGAGGACACAAGCCAGAGCATCGATGCTGGGAAGGATTCCAACTTTGTCCTTCCTTTTTGAGCCAACAATGGGCTAAGCTCTGAACGATCGTCGCATCATTGCTAGCCGCTACAGCCCTTTCAGCCACCATAGCCCTAGGTCACGTCGGCAAGTTTCGCATTGCATTGCCCCCGCCTCTCTATAGGACCGAAATCTTGAGCATCTTGTCCGTCCGAACCTGCTGGCACAAATACAAATGTTGAGCATCCAGCCATGGCATGTTGTAGCTCCTACGAAGAGGAAACCCCATCTTCCTGACGAAGCAAGTCTGCGCGCCACGTGACGGCCGCGCCTCCGATTGTCATCTGGGATGCAGTGCGCAGCATGGACATGTTCCTCTGCATCTTCGCCTTTTCTCACAAAACACACACAAGCCAGCTCGCATTGGCTCACACAAAATAACCCCCGTCCCTCTGGTTGCGAAGCAAAGGAGCGGGATTCATAACCACAGCTTTGCGGTCTGTCCCGAGCTTTTTCAATTCCTGCCGATGCACCGTCGCCAACTTGAATATTTCTGCCTCTGGCTTCTGAAGTCTTCCACTTTAACCCGGCGGTGACATGTCACTCCTCTAGAGAGCCGAGCAACATCTCAAAAGACCTCGATACAATCTCAGAACAGGTGCCGCAAGCGTTATTGGAAAGGCGCCTGCTAGTTAGTCGGCCTTACAAAGTAAGCCAGTTATGCCCGTACGATTCAAGCCCACCCGAGCAACGGCAAGGTCAAGGACACAGGTATGGAGTATACTTCAGCGAATATGTGCAACCTGCCGCCATTCACTTGCCACATAGTAGACCGCAGGGTCTTGGACAGCTTGCAGCAACTGTCCCACTCCAACTAAAAGAAGCATGCCGACAAAGCAAGAGAAAGAAATGATTGAAGGAGCGATCAACCACCTGACACTGACGTAATGCCCTCTATTAGTGTGAAGAAAACACAAACTAATTCACTTTTGACGATTTGGAAAAACAAAAGCCCGGCTTCTCTGGCTTGAGCAGGTCACGACCTACTCCACGCACGAATGCGCACTGGTCCAGGATATCAGATGTCCTGTTTCTATTTTCATTTCGCCAAGGCTAGGGTGAAGGAGTTTCCCCCTCCACCGTGCGCTTTGTGCTCCCCCTGTTCGCGCGCTCTCTCTCTCTCTCCCTCTCTCTCTCTTGCTTGCTTGCTTGCCGGGCATTTGGGGTGAGGGAAAGCAAGTTCCCTCCCCCTGCGCGCGCTCTCTCTCTCTGTCGTGTCATCCCCCAAAGTCCGGTTTGTTACACCGGGTCGTTCCAACGATGGGCTAAGGACCACCACGTCAACATGCAAAAGCATCAAGCAGCAGACCGTGGGCACATTGCACAATTCGTTTCCAGAGCAGCGCACGCAGGGCCTGGAGGGGCACAGTCAAAGGAGCCGATTGGCCTCCGTCAGTGACCCTAAACGACGCGTCATGCCTCTCCCTAGCCTGCCAGATCAGATCGATGCCCTCACTAGACAACAAACGACTGGCATCGAGATGCTGCAAAAATTCAACAGCATCGTGTTGCCTGGTAGGGTGTTTCCAGCCTCTTGTGATAGAAGCTTTGAGTGGGTGTGTCCAAGTGTGCACAGCACTCGTGAGGGAACGGCGAATGATTCGCAGAAGGAAGGCATGATGCCTGCTATCAGAGGCATAACAGTAGTTACTATAGTTGCTGAGGCACATGGATGTCACTGCGAGGCCGGTGCGAGTCGTTGTCGTTTCGCAAGGGTGCTCAGTCAGCCGGCTGCCATCCAAGTCGCCGATTGATTGAAGCGGTGAAGCAATCCCCACGTCTTCTGAGCCTCCTGTGTCCTCATTCCCGCTTCCAAGAACATCCCATAAGTTGGGGAGGAGTACTCCTCGTTGAGCTTCCGCATGCCATGGAACCTGGCGATAACCCTCTCCATGGTGCAAAGAACGAGGAGTTTGCCCAGGATCTCCTTGATCTCCGCTGGCAGCAGGGGCTCGATGCGATCGTCCTTGACATGTTTCTTGAGGCTCGGATCCCGACGAAGACCAGGAATCTTGTTGTCCTGCTCTAGAAGAAAGCCCATTTCCTGGGCCTTGGAACGGGATGATGGACTCGCAAGCATCCGGTCGAATTTGGACTGGACTGTTTCGATGAAGTGTTGGAACATGACCACTCGTATGGGCGAGCTGAACCTTTCCGGGGCTTCCCGCTTCGTCAAGTGCCATTGTTCCCCGATGCCGGACAACGTGTGCGCCAAGCTTTTGGTCTCCTGCGTATTGATGAAGATGACGTAGGAGGTGTCCTGCTTGCAGATGTTGAGCTGAACCTCCTGTCAGAGGCCTGAGGTCGTCAGCATGCTGACGGTTCTGCTGCTGTTGCCACGGCTTGTTGGCAACGATTGGTCCAGTCGTTGCCTTTCCAGGAGCTCCCGAAGCGCTCCGCTTGAGGCGACTGCTGGTGCTTTCCCTTTCCGCCCTGTTTTCCGCCTTTGGGTCTGGGCTTTTGCCATTCCGGAGGTCTGCTGTCGTCCAGCTCCGGGTTCTCGTCCAGGTCCATCGCGAAGGTATCCGTCAGGCTGGGGGACGGCAGGAGCGATTTGAGTAGGTTGAAGTCCTGAGTGGCGGCCTTCAGTTCCTCTGGTACCGGCATCTCCCCCCTGCTCTCGAACCTGTTCTCGAACATGTGAGGCAAAGTGACCTGTGCCAGTCGTCACCGAACTGCCCGCTAGGTTCAGGGCCCTCCCTCGAGCAAGGCGGCAATGAAGGTAGACCGACACATCCACATATACAGATGCATACACATGCCCTTATGCATACATACATACATACATGCATACATCCGTGCATCCATGCATCCATGCATTCCTGCATGCATACAGACAGCTAGACAGCCAGACAAACAGCCAGGCAGACAGACACACAGACATACAGGCATACAGGCATACAGCATACAGGCATACAGACATACAGCATACAGGCATACAGACATACAGACATATAGACATACTTCCAGACATACGGACATACATACAGGCATACATACAGATGTACATAGAGATGTGCATACACATGCATTCACGCATACAGATGCATACAAGTACACACATGCCCACAACCATGTAAGACAAAGTCTTGCTGGAGCAGCGAGACCCAAGCTTGATCTGGAAGACGACAAAGGTCGTTAATTCATGGCTGCACATGCCCTCGTGTTCTACAAACAAAGATGACTGCTTCCTTTCATGTAGTGATCAATGCTAAAAGCTTTTCGACTGCAGATTGCAGCAACTGCGCTGTCAAGCCACCACCTGAACCTTGAAAAAACCTTGCTTTGTCAAGGAAAAGAAACTATGAGCACACCAGTTCTGTAGGCAGACACCCAGGTCGTGCATTTACTTTGGCAGGTACGTTTTCCTGGTCGAATCAAGCGGAGCTTCGTTGGCGACAGCCACTTGAACGACCCCCGTCGCCCCCTGCGTGATACAGTAAACTGCCAAGCAAGGAAAACATGACCAAAAGCCGTGATGATGAGCATTAAAATCTAGCAAAATGAAGGCAGGTCTGTCGCATGTACAGCAGAAACAAACACACGCACACACACACACACACACACACACCCACCATGCCGCAAAAGTGGAGCAGGCTGAGCTCGCTGCAATCTGTCCAGACGCAGGAACTTTGCTGTGTCCGACGTGACCTGGTCAGCATCTGATACCTCTCTCCGTTCTGAAGTTGCCAGGAGTGCAGTACAGCCAGTCCGAATCCCGGTATCGGTATCGGTGGGACATGTTTCGGGAAGGCGAGAGTGAGCCCAAGCTTATGTAGGATCCAAACATTCAACCATTGGTCAGCCTCAAGGCTTGCTTTGATTCTGAGCGTCTATCAAATTTTCTTGCACCTGGAAGCATGTTCCATGGTTTGCTCTCTGACACCGGCATTCACGCTCAGTGCTCTCGACAGGTGGCTTCTTGGTGCTTTAACTTCTAGCAACACGCGCCAGCCTTGACCCAGTCTCTTGTGGTGGTAAGATGTAGTCAAAGCCCAGCGCATGTGAAACGACGGCCAGTGCAAAAAGCCCCACCTTGATGGTGGCAGCTCGGCCCTCGTTTGTCAGCAAGGCCCGCTCCCCGAAATAGCGGGCTTCTTGCAGAGTAGCCTGCAGCAAATGCGAGCAGGTCCCAGCGCTTTATGCTAGTGCCTCTGACTGAGATCCGTGCCGTAAGCTTTATCTGCTCTACGCCGTCTTTGATGACCGCGACCTGCTTTGGGTGTAAGCAGACTCGTCCAAATCAGGGCTGTGCTTGCGCGGCGTCTCTGCATGTGAATCGCAGTTGCTGCCCATGCAGTTTCAGGCACTGCTGTTAAGTCCAACTTCTTTGCGTTTCATTCGACACAACATCGGATTAAGAAGCAAAGCACGCCTAAACACAGACCAGCACGACAAACTGAACAGGACATGTGTACCAAGTAGAGCCGGACAACGATCCCAACAGTGATCCAAAGTGCTAAGGTATGACAACAAAAACTGGTTTCGTAGAATATCTGTCTTGGTGCAGTTCATGCACGCCACAACGGGCTCCAATGCAACGACATGCAGCAAGTGTCCAGCATTACTCGTACGACGAATGTCTGAGCTTCGTGCACGTACCCATGTCATCCCATGTCGCTGTGCGCCGAAGCCAAGAGTTGAAAACAGACCATGGACCCAGTGATGCCACGTCAGTAACGCACACGTGCCGAATCGGACGACGTCAACGGACGAAGGGTGAGCCGGGGGCCCGGCTCCGATGGAGTGTTATGGTGTTTCTCATCGCAGCGCTTTCAGGTGCCGCTGGCAGTTGTCTGCAGACGCCAAACTGGCTTCGGCAACAAGGCATCTGCAGTTCTTCTGACTTGCAGCACAGTATCATATTCCGCATCGTAACCTCCTGTTGTAAGTTATGCCGTGCCGTAACAAGGCAGGTAGATTATAACATGTACCGTGCACGTAGCATGATTGTCATCTTTGCCTCCTCCAGCATGTCTAACGTGCCAAGTACCAGTAGGAGCATGCACTGTAGAAAAATGACAGGAATAAGCACCGCGTCATGCCCAATGCTTTGAAAGTGCAGATAGCATAAACATCATAAACTTTAGCATCAACAAACAAACACGCAAAACAAACGAAGAAAAAGAGAAAGGTGGGGCAGAGAAGCTGGCTGAATTGTCTAACATCAGGACCTCTTTCTACACGTCATACCGCACGACCCCGCAATGCAGACGATGCTTGACAACTTGAGGAAGGCCTTTATACTGAAACACGCCCCATCCAACTACACCAATACGGCAGTGCAGCTGCATCCCTTCATCATGGGGTTCACTCCAACTTTTCTGTGTTTGTTGATAATATTCCGGCAAAACGAGGCCCAACTTTTCTCAACAGCAGGTGCAGATTCTGTAGCCATGTAGACAGTAAGACGTACAGACGGCCACGTAGATGGACGGAGACGACCGATGACAAAGAGGGAAATCGATGTAAAACTAGCAAGAACCACTCAAGAACACATTAATCAGGTCAAGTCATGTCCTTGCCTGCCCCTCGGTCAGAATGTAGAATGCATCTCCCTTCTCACCTCCGTCTCGAGGAGTCCACATGAATACCATATGCAGCATCTCGCAAGCCTGACAGTCTGACAAGCTGGCACATGCCAAGCCACCTTGTTCGAAGACCATCTCATCTTTGGAGAAGGACATCTCCTTCCGACATGCACGGTTCGCACCGCGAAATTTGGAAAGTCTGACGAGTGAGCTGTGCCCCCAACAGTCAAGGACTTCGCCAAAGCCTTGCAAAGGCAGCGAGCTAACCCTAGGACCTTTACATACAACATAGCCGCATATAGCTGCACACTGAGACGCACACTTCTTTCTCTTCAGGTTTCAAAAGACCCTTGAGAAGATCCACCTGGGCTTGTAGCGAATCATGCCACAGACAATGCATCCAGTACCGTGGCCAGTCCATGCCAAGCCTTGTCCAACAATGCAACATACTCCTGTCAGGGTTAATCCTGCAGCCGCCCCTTCACCTTGAAGCAGTTTGAGACCCGTCCTGACACTTGTCGCCTCGAGCAGCCAGAACGGCTTTGAAATCGGTCCTCGTGTTGAGCTGGCGTCCAAAAGGCTGACTCTAGTGCGAGCTTCGGCCGGGCAAAGAAAATCAACCAACACGCGCGGAATGCCCAGAGGTCTTTCAAAAACAAACGACTACACACTTCTGACGCTTCTTTTCAATGCTCCGTCGGCAAACGAGGATGGCAACCTGCGATGTTGCCGTGAGCCGTCGGCGAAAGAGAACCGCACTCGAACCTCTCGTGCCATCCACACACGGCCACTAAGTAAAGCGTGGGCTCTGGGAACGAAAAAACGTTTTGCTGCCCACACCGATGCTATCACAGTTCACGAAGCCGCGCAAACCACATACTCTCTTCAATCAGCATCGAAGTGAGGTTTGTGTCTGAAACAAAGCTCGGAGCAAATCTTGACCATGTTCTCCGTGCAATCACGTGTGACCAGGAAATCGTGTGAACAAGATCAAACCGCGCGTGGTTACCCCGCTCGTATATGTGCTCTCAAACAAAGCGTTCCGACTTCGGCCGAACGGCAGGCATGAATCATTCATGATGCAGCGATACCACAAGTGCGAGTGCACCGCGCAAGATAAGCCAGGCTGCCTATCAATGACCCAGAGTTCGGAATCGACCACGGCCTTGACATTCACGGCGTGAGCCAAAACGCAAAACACGGCAGCAATGAACGTTGGACACAGCCTTGACCGTCGCAGCGCGTGGCGCAGTGTAGATTAGCGCCAGCCTCAGGGGATGCAGAAAGCTGAGAACAGAAAAAATCTGGCGAGGTCGTTGTGGTAAGGATGCAACTCGCCGAAGCTGTTTCCAGGCTTGAGCTGACCAACGCCTGCACAACGCCGAACCTTTGACGGTGGTTAGTACTCTGCAACTGAGCCACGGACGGTGCTCTTTCCTGAAGCGACAGCTGAAACGGGCCCCTTGTCGACGTTACAGCACTTCTGCTAGAGGCTGGGCAGCGAGCTGGATGACGTCGAACTTTCCTGACCTGACTACCGAGGTTGCATGTGTTGCGAGACATGCCACGGGTTGGTCTGGGAGCCGAGGCTTGACCATGTAGAAGAACGAGGCATTGAGATCACCTTCGGTGATCACGTCAGTGCCAGCCTTCACCTCTTCCTGCAAGAGACAGGAAGACACCTTGACAAAACTCTAAAAACGGGCCGCCTTCCAAGCGGTGTCGATAAGTCTCTCTGTGCTCGATTCGTCTAGCGACACCTAAGCCCGGACCCCAATACGAGAGGCCATGCGAGATAAGCTGCACAAATGTGCAAGTGCATCATGGGAAAACATGCTCTTAGGGCAGCCACCAGACCTTGGAGATTCGTGTTCTCCTTCAGGGCCTTGCCATGAGGGACAAGTACGCTGAAACAAAGCCCTTCAAAAGTGCATGCCTTTGCCATGATCCGGCGTTCTTCTTCGGTCTTCGGGCTTGGAGGCTTCGCCTTGACAAAGCAACACAACCCAAGTCTAACGACTTGCCAGAAGCAACAATTCGCACTGCACTGCCGAGTGCTGACTCGGGGCCTCTGACTCCAGAAATCCGCCTCCGACGGCCTGCAGATACAAAGTAACACTGCAGGTGCAGAAGGCAGAAGCACGGATGCTCCCGAGTGTCCTGCAAACTGAGCTTTGCGCATTTCTCTGTTTGAACACCAACTTCTCACGCAAGCCCAACTCTTCGAACTTGCTGCGCCGGACGATGATGGTTGTCAGCGGCTGCTTCCTTGGACAGAAACGTGGACAGTGTCAGAATGTCCATTTGGCCTTCAAACCTGTGACCACGAAATATGATGGAATCGACAACACCCACGCACACACAGACACACACAAACTCACACACACACACACACACACACCTACACACATTTCCACCACCCACGCACGCACGCACCGGCACCCACGCACCCACCTACCCCCCCACCGACCCTCACCCACCTTGCAGTTGCTCGAACGATAACTAACGGTGACGAACACTCTATCGAGGACTGTTGGGCTTTGTTTCTTGAAATTGGGAGGGGGGTTTTGCTGCGGTTTTGCTTCACCCTATTGCATCCGAGCTGCGCTACTATGGTGGCATTTCGTGGCTCAGCCCTGAGCAAGGCATTCTCACCGAAGTAGTCGCCATCCTTTCATCAAACGGGGAAGGGGTCTCTCCACCGCAGGTCTCCGCAGGTCTCCGCTGTGCGCCGCCCCGGCCGCCCCGGCCGCCCCGGCCTTGAGCTGCGCCACTTCGTGGCCGTTCACCTGCACGGAGCAGATGCCGGACCTGCGCGCAGATGGGCCCATGCCCGCCCAGGCCCGCCCATGCCCGCCCCCCCCTGCTCTTCCTGGAGGTGATCACCCCCATCGTCACATCTTGCGCCTGATGACGAAGAGCTCGTGGCCCTCGTCGCCTTGTTCGATGACCACATCACCTCAGTGCTCAACCTCTGCCAGGAGCCGTCTCAACAAAGCACATCGCAGCAATCGACATGGCAGCCAAGCATCCCGGTAGGAAGGTTTTGCTTGCACATGTTGGTGCTAGAGTGGGCAGCAAATCTTCTTGTAACCTTTTGAACAGCGGAACCTGCCACGTGAATCACAAGCTCCCAACTCAGTCCAGCTCTTCCCGCTCCCACAATGCCCGTCTTTCCACCCTGCCTTGTGGAGAAACTCTAGAATTTCAGAGCTTGCGAGAGTTGGAGTGGAAGCGATGGAGACCAAGTCGTCCTGGGCGGTGGCACACACACCAAAGAGTCAAAGAGCTCACAGCTTTCCTTTCAAGTTACACCAAGACTCGTCATCAACGTCAGCTTCAACTCTTTCCTCCTTCTTGCAAACGCACCCATGAGCGACTCCCATGATGCAAAGTCACTGAATCTAAGCCTGGGCTGATTCGTCATGTAGCCTTATCTTGTGATACTGCAGTGGTTGGGCGTGACACCGGGACGAACAAGGCTTGAAGAAATGTGACTCATACCCCGATAGCCTATGACATGTCAGGTGCATCTTACCTGACCTGCTGGCGGATGTCAATGAGAAGATGTCCACGCACTCAGCTAAATGATCGTCGTTCGCATCTCACAGTCGCAGATCCCCTTTTTCCCATTCTGGCCATTATGAATCCTGTCAGCACCGGTGAGACTCCAGGTCGTCAGTGTTGGGCTCATCTACTTCGACTTGGCCTGCACATTCCGTACCATTCAAATCACATTTTTGTCACTCGTGCTCGTCAAATCACATAACGAACAACGACTTCAAGCAACCGTTGCTGCCACACCTCTTCGTTCCTTGCGTTTCTTTGGTCCGAAAAACCTTTAGCCGCAAGGTCTTCCAGTCCTTCCTGCACAGGACAGATGCCCATGTCCTCGTTCAGAAATGCCCCTTCAGAACAGCAACAACAAATGGCCGTATGCCTGTATGGATGCTTTGACAAGCCCAGCGAGTCTTATTGCCTGCCACAGCCGGTCAAACGACAACCGACCACACGAAGCATGTTCGCAGAGGCAGCTCGATTCACCAAATCAATAGAGTACCCAAGCATTCCTCTCCTCTCACATTTGCACTCTGTGTCCAGGGAGTCGCAAGCCCACCCGCTTCACATGCTTTTTCCGTAATTGCTACGAAAGTCTGCCTCGTTCGCTCGCTTTTGCACGAACCGAGCTAAACGGAAACTGCTCCGTGCCTTCGTTCTGGTATCACAATCTGAAAGCGACTCTGCAGCAAGCAGCGCGTGGCTGCTGCCCAACTTCCACATCTCAGAAACGCGAAGTGACGGCTTCAGCGTGGCTTGCCCTTCCGAGCATCCGGCTCTGATACCAATGCGGGCTGGAATGCCACCCACCAGCGACTCCACCGGCCAGCAAACCTCAAAGGACCAAGTGGCATGCTTTGCAGTATTCAGACATCGAGATGCAATCGGCTGCGTCTGAAGCGCATTGGTTCCCAGCATGGCCAAGCACCAGACGTCCACCTCAAAGGTACTTGTGGTGAACCAAAATTCACACGAAGCCACGAGGTGCTCAAGCCAAGCTCCCCACATCTGTCTGCACAGCAACAGAAAAAGCACCGGCACGGAACTCCTCCAGGTCGGGCAAGCGCAGGGAACACGCAAATCACACAAGTACCAGTACGTGCATACATATCGGCATTTTTCGCACTCGCAGCTCGATCAAGTCAGGCGAGGTTTGGGAAAGCCTATCGAAAGTTCAAGCGCACATGCATACATACATAGATAGATAGACAGACAAACAGACTGACAGACACACGGAAAGACAAGGATACAGACAGACAGAGAACCAAACACAGACGGAGAGAGAGAGAGAGAGAGACGGACAGAGACACACACCAGACAGAGACATATGGAGAGAGAGAGAGAGAAGAGAGAGAGAGACAGACAGATACATCGATAGACACATAGACACTCTGACACACGGATGCATAGACACACAGACAGACAACGACACACAGACAGACACAGACACAGACACAAGAAGACAGACACAGACAGACGAACGCAGACGGACACCGACAGACACAGACAGACAGACAGACAGACAGACAGACAGACAGACAGACAGACAGACAGACAGATACCGACAGAGAGACAGACGGAAAGCACACGCAGGGGGCGCAGGCAGGCAGGCAGGCAGACAGACAGACAGACAGACAGACAGACAGACAAAGCACTCTGTAACGCGTCAATCTATTATGTCTGCTTCTTATGTATGTAGGTATGTACGTATTTTCGTTTCTCTGCATGCATGTATGTATGCATGCATGTATGTAAGGTGAGCAAGCACGTACTTACTTATTACGTACGTAGGCACATAAGGAAGCCGGTAAGCGAACAAGCAAGAAGGTAAGCACGCAGGTTTGTAGGTAAGCAAGGAAGTAAGTAGGTAGGTCGGTAGGCAGGCAGGCAGGGAGGCGGGTAGACAGGTCGGTACAGGTATGTACCCTATGTATACGTGCATGTGTACATATGCGGGCACGTACCTACAAACGTACAAGCGCACCTACATACGCACATTGATGCAACATACGTACTTAAGTATTTACTTACTCAGGTGCTTCTGTAATCTTCCTTACAAGCAATAAGCAATGGCCTGCAGGACGAGTGGATCGCCACGATTTCGCATACCTTCTGGAAACCACGCACCAACCTGGGATCAAGAGTTGTTTACATGTCACAATCCTGGCCGACCTTGCAGTTGTGCATGTTCCAGCGTGGGTTTACCATGCCAGCCGTGTTGTTCAAGGGTGCCCAATGCATGGTCAAAACCGTTAAACTGATGCAGCGACCGTCCCGCGCTTGACATGGTGCCCACTTTCCGCTGTCGACCTTCTATGCCCAATTTCTGCCTATCAAAAGCCAAACCTGGACAGCAAAGCCCTTGGGCTTATATGACACAAAGACACACATACAAATCTTGAGAGGCGGATATGATTGCACATGATTAGGTTGAGTCTTTAAGACTGAGAAGCGGCTCGAACGTTAGATATTCTATGTGGCATGCAGAGAAATCCACTTTGCTCTCGGTCACGACACAACGGCATTTCCAGTTGAGTATCGAAGCAAGCAGAGGTAGCAGCAAAGGCAAGGCTGCAAGGCAAGAGGTTCCTGCGTTTTTGGAACGCGGTTGTTCTAGAAGCGCGCAACTTTTAGGAGCGTGCACGGGGCAAGTTGACACAGACTTAACTGGGACTTCCAACATGGTTTCATTCTGCTGTTTTGGATAGAAGTGCGCACCTTTTGGGAGCGTTGGCAGAGCGAGTTTATTTTCAGACGAAGCACGCAATTCTACGAGCGCATGCGAGCAGGAGTTAGAGATACGGATCATCCACAATTGCAGGCAGCTCACGGAAACCCTTTGCCCGCCGAACCCGAAGCTGATCTGTATTGCAAAGGAGCCAGTCTTCAGCATTCGATCTGCGAAGTGAAACAAAGGCGACAAGATACGGGGCAAACAGACAAGCGACCAGTGAGGCTTCAAGAAACTGTCTGAATCTTGAGCCGAGCCAGACACGAAGGCCAAGCGATCGGCAAAAAGCTTGGTACGTAGACTTGGGGCTGCCAGTATATACAGACTTTTCTTCCCGACCATAATGCCCTCCCCTCCTTGGCACTGGAGTCACTACTTAGCATTTGCATTGAAGTCCATACAGTCAGAGTGCTGGTCCTGGCTTTGCTTTTGACGGTCGACGGTCGGCGATGAGCTTCGCGGGGCACTAAATTGAATTTAGCGGGGTCTCGTTCGGCGATGCGTGTGTTTGCGCAGACCCTTTGCTTTGACCGTTGGCACCGACAGAAAAATTCGCAAGAATGACCGACTGTGTAAACTGTGACAGTACATCATTTTGTTGCCTCCTGCATGGTTTGACAATACATCCTTAGAAGTGCCTTTTGCTGCTCTGTTATCTTCAAGCGCACTCCCCCTGCAAGGAGTAGCACGACGTCATTGAATGGGAAGGCGCAATCTCTTGATATCGAGCTTCACAAGATCTCACAACACTTCTGGACAAGTGCCACGGTGGCCGGCAAACTTGTCAACACCGTGCTCACATGCGATGCTTTTGCAAACAACGGTGATGATGCTGCTGCAACTTCCGTTGTAACGCTCTCTCCCTCCTATACGCGATTTCTCTCTGCAGCTTGTCTCGCGAATACAGCACCGCACCAATGGAATGCTGCAAACACCCGAGGCAGAGGCACCACCGCCCTGGACATGCTCAGCAAAAGCTTTCAGCCTCAGCACACCACAGCATCCACACGCTATGCAAGCTGGCGAATGTTTTCCGGAGATGCACTTCTCTTCCATGGCATCCTTTTCGACTGCCAAGCTGGAAAAATCACCTTCACGGGGGAACTTTCAAGGCAGTACAGTCGTGCGAAAGCTCATGCAATGTAATCTGGCACGGCTTGTTCGGCCCACGGCCCTGGACAACTCGAAGACTCGAATTGACATGTCACGAACATCTGTTGCTCATTCCAACTGGTTGATTTCCTGTCACTTCATCCTCTGGTGCATTGATTCACTTAACCCTTGGTTCTTTCCCTGCTCTCTTCTTCCCTTCCTTAGTCCACACGTCCATGCAAGCAGTTCTTCCGTGGTATGTTTTGCCTCCAGCCTGGCCAGGACGAGAAACTACGATGCAGGACAACAAATTCAGTAGTCTATAGAAATATCCATTCACTCAATCACTCGTTCATTCGTTTGCTTTGCTGTTCCAAAAAGACGCCTGCGGCCTTGTTGATTGCGGAAAAACAGACAAGAACTGATGGATGATGGTGCTAGTGTTAAGAAGATATGACGCTGATAGTTAATTGCAGGGCAATCTCTGATTCCAAGACACAGTGATGATAACGCTTCTTTTGTGTCTTGAGCCAAATATCGGTAATAACGTCTTCGGGTGAAACTGCTTCATGATGATCAACATAAGAAGGGCCTGGGGGCACGTGTTTTTTCAACTCCCCCCTTGTAGACAGCGTGAAACAGTTACTTACAGGAAACTAGTTCTACTGCGAGGCACTCGGAAACCTAACTCGTCTAACAACTGCGCTTCAGACGGTTTCAGTGCGGCTGGTGCTCGAGGCGTGAACGCTACTAGCACAACACGGGACTGAAGTGGCCCTTCCCACGGTACAGCGCAGTGTCTAACAGACGGTTGGAAGAGTGCAGGCAGTTCTTTGAATGCGACCTGGGCTATTGCAATCACGCTGTGGGCATTGCTGATCACCAAGTGGATCCTGGACCCATATCTGACCGCCTTTTACCTTGATTAACGGGTAGACGAAGTTGTACGATCCCGGATCGTTGTACTTGTCAGTGTGCAGGTCAAACTGACAACCTTGGTAAATCGCTACAGCAGTGAAGGTTAGGTTCTTGGCTTGTTGCCGAACGAACCTCGTGAGGACATGCGTTACCCCCCTGAACTTAGACGTATTGCTCCTTAACCCAGTCGTAAATCCCTTACCCTCGAAAGAGACGACTGGACGAGACGAAGCATCTGGAGGAAGAAAGTGGAACAGTTGCAGAATATGATTTTCCGTCTGTGTGGCAGGATGCCGGCAACAGACTCCGGATCAGTATCTGCAAGAGGATCTTCAAGAACGAAGTTCGGTGATGGAGCAGCAGGTATCGGGGCATTTGCGGAACCCTCAGACAGGCAAAGCTGTTCCAGCATGGATGGCCACTCTTGGGGGCTAATTACTTTCGTGAACCCATTTGCTCGTTGCTCCGTCGTAGGGCAAAAGGTTATCTGGACGTGCGGCTCTGCGAGTCTCTCACAGATAGACGCTACGTTGACCCTGTGCACCCTAGGCATGTGGCGGAGTTTAGCAGAATAGCCTCCCTTAAGAATAGAAATCACGGTATTATTATATTGCCTATAAAACACCGGGATCTCGAACCCAAGGATATCGCCTAAGGACTCTTGAAGGTTTTCTACCTCTGAAAACATGGCGGTCGCAAGAGAGATCGTTTCGGCCTCTGTCGTGGACCGAGCCGTGGAGGACTGCTTACGCGAAACCCAGTGGAGTAGATATGCGCAGTCTCCGGTCTTTGCGACGACGAGGATTCCAGTCGTGCTTTTCGCCGACAGAGGGCAAGAAGCAAAGTCTGCGTCTGTATACACCTTTATCTGGCAACCTAAGTCCTGTTGCGAAACAGACCCTTTTAAAGTCACACGACTTGAGTGATGGAGATACGACACACAACGAAGTAGTTGACGGTCGTCGAACCTATCCCATCGACTTACTTTAGAAGCTAATCTTAAAGTCAAGTCATCGACGTAAACATTAAGCACTAGCTTCTGGGATCCGAACTCGAAAACCCACGTGCTAGGGTAGGCGGGAAGTTCGCGACCTCCGAGCCTTTTCAACTGGACGGTCAAGTGGTCTTGCCATCTCTTACCTGATTCTGGATGCCCATATAAGCCTTTCTCAAGTTTAACTACAAGACGGCTGTCGGGAGAGAACCTCCGGGACCACTCGGGGAGCCAGAGCTCGCGAGGGATTATTACCCAGGTCTCTCGACCGATCTTCGCTTGCAAGTACGCTTGTATAGCATCCGCAACCGAGGTCGCGTGACCTGGGCGGAGCCCATAAAAGAGGCAAGAGGCAAGACCTACCAACCCGGTTGGAGTCGTCGCAGTTTCTTCTGAGCCAAACAGCACTGGGTTACCAGAAGCGTCGCGCACTTGGTCCCCCCTAAAGACTACACGGCCTTTGTACTTGTGCTGTGTTGGGTGCTGCTAGCTTCACCCTGGGCCCTCGGTGGAATTGAGATTGGCTTAAACGGCCTGGTACAAGGCCTTCCCCTGGCACCGGCGGTTTTACGCTTGAAAACACAATAAATCCGGAGCCGGCCCTGTCACCGGCGCTTTTTTCGCTTCAAAACAAAATAAAACAGGAACCGGGCCTAGTGCGTGTTTCTTTTGCGTGACAAATAACCAAAACCAGAAGTTGAGGCCAGCGAAAGATACCCGACAGGTAGCTGAATCTGGCTTGTGGGTAAAGTCTCGATTCTGCACGGCTTACTTCGAATGCATATCGGGGTGGGGACACTGTTACAAGCAATTTTAAACACAAATTCAAAGCAAAATCAAGCAAACCATGGCTGGCCCTAGTGGACTTTGATAGTTTTTTCGGGTGCCATTCGCTTCCCCGCACAAGGGCACTGGACGACTGCGCCACGATGAGGCTGCCACCATTTGCAGCCGAAAAATAATCGTTCTTGAGGCTTCGCATAGCGCCTAGAGGTTTTGAACAAATGTTGGGTGCCATTTAGCTTCCCCTCGCAAGGGTACTGGACGACTGCGCCACGATGAGGCAGACACCCGTTGCAGCCGAAAAAATTCCGTCCCCGAGGCTTTCTTAGCAGCCTCGGGGGGCCCACCCCACTCGGGGGGATCCTGAATCAGATTGGATGCCAAGCAGGCGGCTGTCCTCGCCACAAGAATCCCTCCACATTCTTGATATGCACGGTCTCCACGGGAAGATAAAGTCCATCCTGGGCACTCAGGAATCCCTCCACATCCTTCTCATGCACGGTCTCCGCGGGAAGATAAAGTCCAGGCTGTCCTCGCCACCAGAATCCCTCCACATCCTTCTCATGCACGGTCTCCGCAGGAAGATAAAGTCCATCCTGGAATCCCTCCACATCCTTCTCATGCACGGTCTCCACGGGAAGATAAAGTCCATCCTGGGGCACTCAAGAATCCCTCCACATCCTTCTCATGCACGGTCTCCACGGGAAGATAAAGTCCATCCTGGGCACTCAGGAATCCCTCCACATCCTTCTCATGCACGGTCTCCACGGGAAGATAAAGTCCATCCTGGGCACTCAGGAATCCCTCCACATCCTTCTCAAGCACGGTCTCCGCGGGAAGATAAAGTCCAGGCTGTCCTCGCCACCAGAATCCCTCCACATCCTTCTCATGCACGGTCTCCGCAGGAAGATAAAGTCCACCCTGGAATCCCTCCACATCCTTCTCATGCACGGTCTCCACGGGAAGATAAAGTCCATCCTGGGCAATCAAGAATCCCTCCACATCCTTCTCATGCACGGTCTCCACGGGAAGATAAAGTCCATCCTGGGCACTCAAGAATCCCTCCACATCCTTCTCATGCACGGTCTCCGCGGGAAGGTAAAGTCCAGGCTGTCCTCGCCACAAGAATCCCTCCACATCCTTCTCATGCACGGTCTCCGCAGGAAGATAAAGTCCAAGCTGTCCTCGCCACAAGAATCCCTTCACATCCAGAAGATAAAGTCCATCCTGGGCACCCTGAGTGCGCCAAAGAGGGCCGGCATTCTGATTCTGACCATTCTCCTCTTCCAGAGGCCTCAATCACTGCCTTGGCGGGACCTGCGTTCCTCGTTCCCTGACAGATCACCCTCACACTATGGCTCTCGTTCCTCGTTCCCTGCAAGATCACCCTCACACTATGGCTCTCGTTCCTCGTTCCCTGCAAGATCACCCTCACACTATGGCTCTCGTTCCTCGTTCCCTGCAAGATCACCCTCACACTATGGCTCTCGTTCCTCGTTCCCTGCAAGATCACCCTCACACTATGGCAATGGCTCTCGTTCCTCGTTCCCTGCAAGATCACCCTCACACTATGGCAATGGCTCTCGTTCCTCGTTCCCTGCAAGATCACCCTCACACTATGGCAATGGCTCTCGTTCCTCGTTCCCTGCAAGATCACCCTCACACTATGGCAATGGCTCTCGTTCCTCGTTCCCTGCAAGATCACCCGCACACTATATGGCAGCGGATGGCACAACATACAATCAACGGTCCACGGTCAGAGCAAGAATCCTGCAAAGACACGCACACCTTAGACACGGGCCAACATTTTTCACACAGCTGTCACTGAATCTTGAAATGGTGCCTTGCTGCCGCCATGCCGGATGGAAAATGCGTTGCATGACAGTGTAAGTCAAAAACTCAACATGCCTGCCTGATGGCTGATGGCTCACCGCCTAAGGCGTGCCCATTGCTCTTTCAGAACCTTCGCAGCTTCTAGAAGCATTTCAAACGCTTCATTCTCCTGGCCTAACTCTGAGTCTCGTGGATTACGGATTTTTTCTTCTTGCATGAAATCGAGAAAGTCGCTTGCATCTTTCAGCGCAGATGCATGGGATGCCCCTTGCAAGAGTCGCTTGTCCAGCTCAGGGAAATACGGGACCGAATCAACCCATGGGACCTCGACGAGCTTGCGAAAGTTGCCGTACTCGTCCATGGATTCCACCATATCTTCGACGCACTGAAACAGCACAGCTGATGCCTGTTCTTTGGGATTGCATCTTGAAACCCC